CCAAAACTGGCGACCCAAATCACGATACATCTTAGTGCCTTTCGGATGCACCGCAAGGCGTGAATGGTGAAACTCTCAGAGTACCTCCTCTCGGCAAGACTCCGACACAAACAAACGGTCTCGGTATCTCACACTCAGGTCGGGATACACAGTCAAACCCTTCTCAGTCTTCCCGCTAGAGATCTTCTCTCGGAGGAATTCTACCTCAAGGTCACCTCCCTGTGCCTCTAACACTCGATTCACAAGTGTAGGCTGTACAACTACAGAAAACAAAGCCGCAGACTCAACAGATTCACCCAGAAGTAAATCAAACTCGCCAAGGGCACCCAACATTTCCCATTCCCGGATGGCTATACAAGTTACATCGCTAATGGATTTCCTACTAAGGGCATCGGCCACAACATTGGCCTTTCCCGGATGATAGTGCAACTCGAAGTCATAATCCTCAATGAACTTCATCCGTCTCCTCTGCCTCAAGTTCAAGTCCTTCTGTGTAAACAAATATTTCAGACTCTTATGATCCGAGAACACCTTGAATCTCTCACTATAAAGGTAGTGCCTCCAAATTTTCAAGGCAAAAATCACAGTTGCTAACTCTAGGTCATGTGTAGGGTAATTCCTCTCGTGTACTTTCAACTGCCGCGAGCCATAGGCTACCACTTTCCCCTCTTGCATCAACACACAACCCAAACCTTCTCGTGAAACATCACAATACACCACATAACCCAAACCTCTCTCCGGAATAACCAACACCGGAGCGGTGGTAAGTCTAACCTTCAACTCTTGGAACGACTTTTCACAAGTCTCACTCCATACCAATTTGAACCCTTTTCGCGTCAATCTAGTCAACGGCGAAGCTAGTCTAGAGAAATCTTTCACAAACCGGCAGTAATACCCAGCTAACCCCAGAAAACTGCGGATCTCAAAAACACTCTTAGGCTGTGCCCAATCCTGCACTGCCTCTATCTTGGATGTATCAACAGACACCCCTTCCCCGGAGACTACATGGCCTAAGAATTTAACCTCTCTTAGCCAGAACTCACACTTTCCAAACTTGGCATACAGCTTATGGGCTCTAAGCAACTCAAGAACCACTCTCAAGTGTTCCTCGTGCTCCTCCTCCGAAGGTGAATAAATCATAATGTCGTCCACGAAAACGACTACAAAACGATCTAAGAATTCCCGGAATATCTAGTTTATCAAATCCATAAACACTGTCGGTGCATTGGTGAGCCCAAAAGGCATCACCAGAAACTTATAGTGGCCATACCGCGTACGGAATGCCGTCTTCGGAATATCCTCCTCCCTGACCCTCAGCTGGTGGTAGCTCGATCTCAAATCTATCTTAGAGAAACAACGGGACCCCTTCAACTGGTCAAACAGATCATCTATACGGGGCATAGGGTACTTATTCTTAACCGTAGCCCGATTCAATTTTCGGTAATCGATACAAAGTCTCAAGGCACCATCTTTATTTTTAGCAAAGAGGGCCGGTGCTCTCCACGGTGACGTACTAGGGCGAACGAAGCCCTTATCTAGCAACTCCTGGAGTTGAATCTTCAACTCACTCAACTCGGTTGGGGCAAAACGATAAGGTGCCATGAAAATCGGCGCCGTGCCGGGCACCAAATCAATGGAAAACTCCACCTCTCGATGTGGTGGCAAACTAACAAGATCCTCGAAAAAGACCTCTATAGCGATCCCGGTTCTCCCTTTCTGTATCCGTTGTATTTCGGACTTTGGTTCCGTGGTGTAGGTAGTTGTATCTACCTTGTTGTCATCCTTTGATTCCATTTGTTTGAGTTATAGGTTGTGTTGGGCTTGGTTGTCACAGGTTGGTAAAGCTTTGGCTCCCATTGTTGTTGCCCAGTTTTTGTATGGTCCGCTCGAGCGGGTCATTTTGCGCTAGAGCGTGGTTTACACCCTTTTAGTATTTCGTGTCCCTGCAAAAACTTCTGCAGGTATGTTTTCTATGCTCGAGGGAGTTTACTGCGCTCGAGCATGTCATGCTCGAGCGGGCTTGTTGGAGCTCGAGCGGGTAGTTCTTTTTCTGAAAAGTTCTGGGAGATGAAAATCTATGCTCGAGCGGACTGGTTTTCGCGCTCGAGCGGATGTACTTTATTCTTGTGTCTTGGCCCTCGAACGCCTTTCTTACGCTCAAGCGGACCTATTTTTGAGTTCTTGACGCTCGAGCGTTGTGTTTTTCGCTCGAGCGTGAATGTCGTATAACAGAGGGCAGCTGGATATTTTTGAATCATTTTTTACTCTCTCTCTCCCTCTCTTACTTTCCCAAAAATGTTTTTGAGAGCCTCTCTCTTTAGAACCTTGCCCTCTCTCTAGGTATTGATCTAGTAAGATTGTTTCCTCACCTTTGGCGTTTACAAAAAAAGTTGTTGATCGTCGAGGGCTATCTTTTGATCCAAGAATTTCGGGATTTGGAGCATTTCCATTTTCTTCATCTTATTTGTTGGGTGTTAACTTTTGAGGTAGGAATTCCTACTCACTCTTATGGTCTTTGACATAGATTTTTGGTTGTTTTGATAAAGTGTTGAAGTTGGGTAATTTTGGGACTTAGGGTTTCAAAATGTTAAAAGATGGTTTTGTTATTTTGATTCTAAAATGTGTATTGTGGGTTTCCAAACAATGACATCGTTGTTGGTTGTTGATATATAAACCATTGGGTCAATATTGGGAAATGGGGTAGAAAACCCTAATTGGTAGTATAAATTAATTGGTATGATTAATTTGGAAAAATTGTGGTTATATGGAATTGAGTTGGGAATAATGAAATTGGCTCATTATATAGCAGAATAGTGGAGTTAGATTTATTAATCGCTCACTTTTGAAAACATTGATATTTTATCTGTTGGAGCTTTTATTATCTGTTTAGGAATAATTGCTTGGGCTACCGGTGGAAGGTAGTTTTGATTGTTGTAGACAATGCATGATGATTAGGCAAACTAAAACTAATCAATTGGATATGTCATAGAGTATGACGGTTGATAGAATACATTAACGTTATATATTGATTGATTGTGTATATGACCTATGTGTATCTACGTTGTGTGTGTGGGAGGAGATAGGGGATGTACTCCACGGTTTAGGGGAAGATAGGGAATGGACCTCTAAACCGGATGTTGTTTGGGAGGAGATAGGGGATGGACTCCACTGATACAGCTCATATGCTTGTCAGTTAACGTGTTGATATAGCTTATATGCTTATCTATGGAAGTGTCGATACAGCTCTTATGCTTATCTTTGGAAGTGTTGATATAGCTAATATGCTTATCTGTTGAAATGTGGATACAACTTGTATGCTTATCTGTTGAGATGTTGATACAACTAGTATGTTTATCTATTGTAAAATGGGAAACGTTTAATATGAGTCACTGTCTCATATAAGTGGTTGGTCAGGTTCTGAGCCGTTGATGCAAATTGTGAAATTGATAAGAAATGGAAAATGAAATGAAACATGAACACAGTGGTCATGAAATGGAAATGGTTATGAATTGATTTATGGAAATTGAACATTTATCAATTGCTAATGTCTTAGTTATTGCTCATACTGTGTTTAGAATATCTCCACTGGGCGTTGGCTCACCCTATATGGGACATTATTCTCAGGTACAGGTAGCATGCCACCTCCAAGGACATAGCTTGGATGATGATGAGAGTCATGAGGAGGAATGGCCAAATGTACCTCCATATTGGCCATCCACCAATTCTGGCATCTTTTTAGTATATTGCTTTGATGTATGAAGGGGAAGTACTCAAAGTCAATAAAATCATGGATGAATTTGGAAGTTACTTCTTCCAATCTAGATCTTCGAACCTTTAGATCCTTGCTGGTAAGACTTAAATTGGTCTGACTGCAGAAAGGTATTGGGACCCCTTGTGAGAATTCAAATTGCCTAGCAAATTGAGCAGGACAATAGGGCTCAGCGATGCATTTGTAAGCTCTGGGGTTCATAGTCCTAATGAATAATTCTCTGGGAATCAGAATAGAGGCCCACATGTTTTTATGCTGAGGTGTAGAACAGGACCTATCACTCAAGAAGGTCCTCAACCAGGATGGGCCAATATTGGTAGGTTTGAAGGGACGAAAGCTGTGAGAAGAAGGAGAAGTTGAGAGTTGGTAGAAGAAATAAAGGTAAAAAGCAAAGGTGGAATGATAGAGCGAAACATTGGCTAATTTCATGCCATGAATGGTAGGGTTTGGTTCCAAACACTTTAAGCATTTAGACTGTAACTCGGTGAAATATGCCAAAAACCAAAGTTGAAGAATCCAAAATGGGCCTCCTTGATTGGCATTCAAGGGTTTTTCAAAAAAAAAAAAGGGGGAGCAAGCTCTATAAACATGGCCTAGAACATATGGAGCTAAGGCCACTTTTCTTTGTAAAACAAGAGCTTTGGCAAGAGGGGCAAATTCAGGCATGATCCTCTGAGAAGAGGTGTAGAAGAGGAACTTGCAAAGCCAATACAATATAAAAAAGAAAATTTTCTTATCAGTCATGGGGCCCTTTCTTTTGTTCTCAGCCTTGACAAAGTCATTATAAGATGAGTTCAGAAAGGGGAGGGAAAAAGGGGTTTTGAGGTCAGGATAGTTTGGACCAATGGGGATGCCAGTAGGGGATAATCCTAACAGATGACAGATATCAAGGATAGTATGAGCCATCATCCCACATCTGAACTGAAAGAAATTAAAAGCAAAATTCCAAAAACAAAGGGAAACATGTATTAAAAAAGGGTCTTCTGAAATGGTTAACCTGGATAATTGGACGGCGTCGAAGTGGCAGAGCTCCTGAAGATCCAGTGCCCTATCAGGAACGACTCGGTCATATCATTCCTCCCACTCTGGTCTCACTATGCGATGGGGTCGGTTCACCTTCTAGATTCCCCAATCAAGACCACCTTCGTAAAGGAGACAATGATCTTCTAGACGTGGATACAGAGCTGGAAGCTCAGTGGGAATCTCCCTAAAAATGGGGCCAAGTACATACTCTTGTTGCTCATGACGACGAGGAATGAAGATGTGCCCGTCAATGGCACTTTTCTCACCAGCCTTGTACTTCTCACACTCCTTATCAATGATCCTTTTCAAGGCTATGGATGGACTCGCGCGCTCCACAACCGGTGCTTTCAAGGAAGAAGAGGTCATTGATAGAGAGTCTTCTCAGAAGATGAAGTTGGGAAAAAGAGTAAAGAGGAAGAGAAAGCCAACAGAGGATGAAGGGTTTGTGTGTTAAACGACCAAGTGGATTGGGAGCAAAATAAAAGAGTTTTTAAACCTTTCTGTCTGAAAAAACACCGAATCATTTTATACGGGCAGAATTCGTAAAGAAGTATTAAAGGTACGCGTGCGAAAAAATTTCCCTCAAAGTTGATAGTTATGGAGGGAAATGTATCTCAAAACCTAATGTTAGCTTCGAAATAAACTATTTGGTTTCGAAGCCAAGTTTTGGCGCCAAAATCAACTGACAAATGGCTTCGAAAGCAGGAAGTCGGCTTCGAGGGACATTCCACACCTAAGGGTGCAAGAATACTTAGGTATTTTGTTTACTTCAAAGAGATTAAAGACCTGTTTTTTAGGTTTCTTGATGAAAGTAAAAGCCTTCCAAGCAAAATTTGAAATACTTTACGGCTAGAATTTGTTTGGTCTAGGTTTGAAACCAATAGTTGGTTTGGTTGTACACAGAAGAAATCACTTTCGTAGAATAAAATAATACAGTCCTTAAAAGAGGTTTCCAAATGTTGGAAAGTATAGATTGTTTGTTCGAAACAAAATTAGTTGATTCGAAATCACTTGCTTGTATTAACCATATGTTGGGGAATTGGTCATGATCAAATCAAGTTTCAAAGGGCAAAATTAATAAATTCGAAGCTCTGATTCTGAAAGGAAACCAACAAAAGTTGTCAATTACATTCCATATGTTGGAAAAGTTCAAATTGGACTTCCAATATTTCATTGGATGTGTTTAAATCAAGTTTCAAAGGACAAAGTTGGTTAATTCAAAGCTAATAGCTGAAGAATTATGTTAATCCTAGAATTGGTATGTAAGGCAATAATTATTTTCTTAAAAAGAAAATTTCACACTTCAGAAGAGTTTGAGTTAGGATTTGAGTTTGAAGATTTCACATCAACCATATAATTAAGTTTACAATTGGAGTGGTAAGTCAGAGTCTGACAAATGAAATTTGGAAAGCCTAGTTTTATTGATAGGTGTTGTTTACATCGGGATTCATTTGATTACATTCTCAATTTCATAGAAATATGGAATGGACAGAGTTGCAAGATTATGGAATTTAGTCCAACAAAATTCAATAAATGAATACTCTTTTCCTACTCTATCCTCTATCTTGTCCAGATTTGGTTTATCTAATTGGTAAGCCCTTTAATTGAGAAGTGAGTTGTTGGGCCTTCACTTCGAATTCTATCTATTTTAGGGCTTTATCTGTGGCGTCTATCTCATCTTATTCATGCATTTCGTTTATTGCAACATCCTCTCCATGCTCAGAAACCTGGCTCCTGAAGGCCTTATATTCCTCAAGGAGGTTCTCTGCCTCATACTGAACCTGAATTCGAGCAGAGAAGACTTTATCCAGAACTTCACTGGTAATGGAAGCCTGGAAGTGCCAGTTGAGCAGGAGAGGAAGTTGGTCTAAAAAGGTATAAAGCTCTATTTGGGCCACAGGGTTGAGAAGATGACTTCGAGACATAATGTCACAAGCCCATAGAAAGTTTTTATGGAGAATGTCATCTCGAAGGACTTCAAAGGATAAATGAGAAAAAGCAGCAAGCAAGGTCTGAGCCCTAAATTGCTGATAAGGAGTTTGAGACACTGGGGCCTGATAGGGGCAGAAGTATTGGCCCTCAGAGAGAGTGAGTCTCAATTCATCAATCCAATTTGGATTGGAAGACAGAGGAGGAGCAGTCGGAGGTTCCCTAATCGAATCTAGGAATTCAGGTCTGGCCACACATTCTAGCGAATCGGAGGTATAAAGCTTTGTTTTTTTGGCTAAAAGCGCAGGACTGATCCCTAAAGCTTTATCAGGACGTTGGACACTTCGAACTATCCGAGATGGCAACGTAGAAGTATACCATGATAAAAGCAGATTATCCTCAAGATTGCGTATACGGTCAATAGGAACATATGGATATACTACAGAACTGCGTTTAGAATGAGGGATTTCAAGAGGGTCATCGAATTCTGGGAATCGGTGATGAATGCGTTCCCTCGTCTGAGGTTGAGTAGGGGTAGGCCAAGTTCCCAAGCCAGAAGTTGTAGAAGAAGAAGAAGTAGCAGCTTCATCCCACGAGGAATGCTTTGTTGTAGAAGAAGAGCTTCCGATATCCATGACTGCAAATTTGTGTTCCAAAGAATTGTAAGCAGCAGGTCTTTGGTTTGAAGGTCGATGATTTGCGAAACCTTCCATAACTTGTATAAATTGGGGTGGATAAAGGTGGCTAATTAATGCATGAAGGTTCTTTTGAGAGCGAACAACATCATCAAATAACTCTTCGTATGCTTGATCAAGGTAAGAAAAGACTTGCTTGGCCATAAAAGATGTACCAGTCTTTTCGAATACTAAGATAGTGAGAGTGTTCAAGGGTTAGAAGAGAATTTAATGCAAATGTTTCATTGATGAATGACGGTTGCATTTCTGAAAAGTGAAAAACCCATGCATGTTCTAAGACGTGGGTACAATACTTTGATCCACTAATATCACTAAGTATTGGGTATATTAGTGGGGGGGGGTAATGTTGGCTACATATTTTGTATAAGCCAATCACAGTTTGACACGTGGCAGGATGAGAGCAATATGGGAAGACAATTCAAATTTTCAATCGTAATCACACACGTGGCAGTTAGTATTGGTTATTTTAGATCTGCATAGCACTGAATCAACAAAGAGATGCAAAATGACGTGGCTTCAACGGTTACTCATATTTAAATTCAAAATTAGGAGGGAAGCCTAACTGCAGATATGATATAATGGAGCTAATTGTAAGGCAACATGATCAGCGATCATGGAGGGATGATTCGACGGTTAGAAATGATTTCGACAGTTGTCATTGGGAAGTATAAATAGCAGAGAAGGCTCCAAAAAGAACCCCTAGACTCAGATAAAAAAAACCAGTTTTATCTACTTTATTTTCCTTCCAGTTTTTACATTTCTTGTTCTTTACATTTCTGTACTTTAAATTCCTGTACTACACTTCGTTCATAGGAGTAGTTTTAAATAGTTTGTTGCTGTAAACCTCTACGAGACTGATTTGGATCTTTGTAAGTCTTCCATTTTACTTAATGAAATATTACAATTGTTCTTCATATTAATCATTGTTTGCTTAATTCTCCTAAATAAAGCCACCAGTAAAAGTTCTTTTCATTGAGGCTGAAAGAACTAAAATACAATCGTCTGATAATTGGTTGGCATTTAATATTCTGTAAGGACTGATTGATCCTTGCTGGCACGCTCAAAATTACAATAATAACCTTCGAAAACCAAAAGGCCAACAAATATCTAAGAGAGAGAAGGAAAATATTATATCGAATGTTATAATAATGTATACAATGCTGTTTATATAAGAGGAGAAATTTAAGTATGATAATGAATATAATATGATATATATAATAGAGACAACATATATTTACTATATTTAATTTTTAATCATAGAATTTCGTCAAAAAAAAATCAAAGTTTTTGAGCATTTATTTACATGACTGTGAGCCTATTTTGGGTTCGTTTTGATTCACTATTTAATTTGTAAAATCTATAAAACAAATTATTTGTATAAAAAATCAACAGTTTATATTTTTAATACAAATATAAACAAATTATGTACCTATTGATATCCGATTAAATTAATTATTTTTTTCATGAATAGTATCCTCAATTGATCCGACAAGTTGAACTGTTTGTAGCACCAGAATAGGCCCGAGATAGGCTCACATCTTTGCAAACTGAACCCTCCAGTCTGAGGCAAGCTTTATTCTACATAGAAATTTATAAACATACTAATGTTATTACAAGATCAAATTATTAAGGGTTTATTAAGATAGAAGCATAGACTTGAGAATAGAAAATATTGTGTCGTAATTTAGTCACAATTAATAGTCATCGCTGTCATACCCGCCACCATAGTAAACTGGTGGTGACCGCCTAGGAACAACTTTCTCCCCCACTTTTCTTTTATGGAAGTTCCTGTGGCAGCCGCAAGCAGCACAGATAAGCTTAGCTCTGGAGTCTTCAGCCTTGTCGCCGCCTTCGCTTGGCATGAATTCCAAGCACCCGTCTTCATATGAAAATTTTGCCACACGTATTGCATGGTTCTTGCAACAATTTTCATAAATAGCCTGTTGTGCAAAATCGTGATTTCAATCGCACAATAAAGCAGTAGAACAAATACACACGAACACTGGGATATATATATATATAGAGTTCTACGGGATGTTGATGTCCATGACAGAGAAAGAGAACAAAATCTCTTATAATATTCTAATTCATTTGACTCGTGAATTTAGATAGTGATTTGATGGAAAAAAAAATCCAAATTTATTTTTTTTTATCAACAAAGAAAGAGGGGAACTTTATTTATTGATGAAATAAGAAAGAACAAGTATCGAAATACATCAATAAAGAAGGGAAGTGCAAATGATACAATTGCAGATGGAACATCTCGCATCTGCAGTTTCCAGATGATACAATTATTTTTTGTGAAAAATCCAAATTTATGATTCAAAAAGCAATCGAAAACATATAACAAATACAAGATACCTCAAAATATTGGGTAATTATTCAGTAATTTCGGAATATGATCACGTGATATTTTATAGTATTATGATTGGTAGAGAAGATGAGTAGATAAAGTATTATGTTAGATGATTAAGAAATATGAAAAGACATATTAAATAATAATTAATAAACACAAGATACTCCGAAAATATTTAATAATTTTTCAAAAAAAAATAGAGGCACTCCAACGCCGCACAAGGTTCATTAGCTATTAGTTTTTGTTGATAGTAATCTCTACCATAAAACACATCAAATCAAATCGTAGCCTTACAATTTCATCAAATGGTAATTTCGTAGCAAAGGGGTTGTGTTGACATTGACAGTAGCAAAGCCTCACCGACGTTGCTTTCCAACCATTACGTC